CCTCCCACCCCTCGCTCGGCCGCTGGCCCTGCATCCTTTACCTTCTCTATTCTCTACTCTTTGATCAGAAACAGGGTATATGAACAAATTTTCTAGCCGAGTTCTTCAATGTGAATTTGTTCGTACATTATGGCTCCCGAGGGGAAGCAATTACTTTTTTATTTTTTATTTTTAGGGTTTTTTTTTTTTTTAATTGCACTTCTTGTAAAGAGCGAGAAAAAAATCAAAGGCGCTTTGAAACAGGGGCTCCCTGTGCAAGGATGACTAAGTGTACGTCTTTCCGTGTGTGTATGCTGGTGAACAGTCAGATTTATTTATATTTTTTTTTTGCAAGCATTGAATAATCTAAGTTTTAAATATTATTTATCCCCATCCGTTCGTATTTATATTAAAGAAATTCTGTACCCTGATTGTTCAGAAGGTTTCTTGGGCCTTTTGTTCAATAGTGTATTGGCGTACATAGAAAAATTTTTATTTGAAAGGGAAATATAATTCCTTTATAAAAACGGTAATGATGCAATAATACCAGAGAGGATCCAGCTTTTGAAAACAGTGATTTGGGTTTGTAACATCCGGCGAAACTGAAAAAAAAAATCTGTAAACGTGAAAAATGCTAGATTTGTTTTGAGGGTTCTACATTCCTTGCTGCTCACATTCTGAGAAACTAAACAAAAAAATAAATAAATAAAGTTTTTATTCTGAATAATATCCGTGTTCAGAAGGGGTTCTTTGGCCGAAGATGGGGGTCTGCGTGGAATTCAGGCAGAGGCGAACTGGCTGAGCAGGCCGCGGCAAGCCTTCCAGCTCCGGAGTGGGGCCTGGCCAGGCGGTTCGTCTGGGGGCACAGCGAATTCTTGGGAAGGCTGCAGGAGCTCCTGGAGGCGAGCAGCTCTGGAAACGCCGAGCGCCAGCCCGCTGGGCTGCCTGATTCCCAGCTGCCAAGGAGGGGCCTGCGCGGGCGCCGGGGCTGCGGACTGCTGAGTGCGGGAGAAACAAAAGGCAGCCAGCCCGAAGCGCGGCGGGGACTCACAGGTGCCCGAGAGGCCCCGCTGGGGAGTAAGGCAGGGCTGTCTTCTCCAAGATCTTCCTCCAGGTCAAAGCGGACCAGCCAGTGCTTTAACCTTGGGAATCATCAGCTGCGCGGAGGATGCCGAGCATTTTCTGGAGCATCCGGACTCTCTGTGGGTGCTCTTCGGTCCCTGATCTCTCCAGGAGGAAAGAATGACTCCTAAAATCGCCCCTGGGATCAAAAGAAAGGCTGAACTCCCAGGAGCCTCCCCGCGCCCTTCCCTGGACTGCTGGAGTCCCAGCTTCGTCTTCATCCCGGAATTTAGGATTTGGCATCCCCTGGATTTATTTCCTTTCCTTCATCCCTCCTCACTCTCCTTTTATGGCCCCAGGGGGAGGAGAAGAGAGAAAGGAGATTGGTATCTTTCTAATAAAAATGCAATTTTATAAGTACTTCTTTCATTTGATGCTGCAGGAGCTAAACATTACATTTCTACTCCTGGATTTAAGATAGGGCTGCCTACTGACTGGCTGGCAGATGCAAAAGCAGGCACAGGAAAGGGAAATATTTTTGTTTTCAAATTAAAGAATTGCTTGGAGAAGGAACCAAATTCAGAAAGTGAAAACCTCAGAACTGTATCCCCATCAACATCCCCTTTCTAAACTGGAAGTGAGAAACCACCTGCGTCTCGGGATCAGAAGCATCTGATGTGAGAAATAAATCATCCTTCTCCCTGGATTGTATCTTTCAGAGACGGAGGTGAAAAATGTCGCCATTTTGTTTGCGATCCCAAATATCCATCATCATGGCCTCTATCTTTCCCCTGAGAAGCTCCCTCAGGTGATCTTTAGAAATAGGCACTGGAGCCATTTTGGGGTATCTCCTGGGTTCACAGGAGCTGCTTTTAGGGAACCTTCTCACATTTTAAGAAAAAGAAAAAGGCTTGGAAGATGCAAAGCCAGGCAGCTGTAGAGATCTGGGTGTTTATCTCACAGCCAGAGATGCTTCTCCCACTTCTGTTCTGGGGCTCTTGATACACACATATATATATTTTTTATTTTTAAAGAGTTTGGGCTATGGAAGTAGATTTGCTCCCCACCCCACTCCAACCTCCCTGCCGAAATATGGTGCACTTCAGAAATGCAGAGTCTGGAAAACCAGTCTTTGTGAGGAGTGGAGCTTCCGCTCTTTGGTTGTTCAGATCTGAACTGAACAGGCCAAACAACCACAGAAGTGTTCTTATGAGTAATAATTTTACAGAAGTATATAAAATTACCTTGTAAAATAAGGGAGACTGGAGAGAGAGTGCAAGAGAGAGAGCGAGAGCGAGCGAACGAGCGCTATCCATTCACAGAGGAAAATCTTTCAGAGATACCACTATTTGAACCCGTTTCTAAAATCTGCTGTTTAGCTGAGAGGGGACTGGTTTGGAGGCATCCTCCTTCCCTCAGGGCACAGATTTTTAAATGAGATTCCAATACGATTCCCCATATCTTGGCAGTCAAAACATTCATTTTAGGTTTCAAAGAGAAAATATTGGTCTCACCTCCAGCTTCAAAGATATTAAAAATAAGTCCTTATTAAAATATTCCTGAGTTAAAGTAATAGATTTGAGGAAGATTTCAATGTTGAATGGCCAAAGAAAAGGGTTTGCTTCCAGATGGTATTTGAATTAAGGCTGCTGAGGCGAGCAGAAAGCTCTCACCCACGCAGCCCCTGACAAAGCCTCAGCGATATGGGGGCAGCGCTTCTCCCTTGCCATAACTCTCCCTCCCCTTAACCCCTCAGTATTATTTCTGGTAAAAGCAAATGCCAAAAGCCACTATCCCAGAATGTGCAAAAGCACCTTTCCTAAAAGCAGCTTATAACTCTTCCTGCTGCCAAAACGATATCTTTAAAAAGACTAGTTTTCCTTGTTTACTTGCGTTTCCTGCTCTCCTCTTTGCTCGGCCACATTTGATCTTGGAAAGAGCTCGAAGCTGAAATGTGTTCTTAAGGGCCAGAAGCTGTCAAGGCTTTTGGTGAGCAAGATTGATCGCGCCCAGACTTCCTTCAGAGCTTTGTTTGGAATAAAAGCAAGAAAACTGAAAAACCTCACATTTTCCAAAATAGCATCTCTATCTGTAAGGCGATGCTCTGGGCTAGTCAATGATGGAGGCCACTTTATATCTAATTTCCACCCAAGCCCCCTTTGATGCTGGCCTCAGAAATGGAGCCCTAGCCTTGTGCCGTGGTCAGCCTTTCTTGTTTTCTACGTAGATTTTTCTCCCCCACCAACCTCTCTCTCCCTGGCCATCAGAATGATTTATTTTCCTGCCACGGATGCCTGCCGGCCTGGGGGAGTCTGATCACTTGGTCCATTTCAAAGGAAGCAAAAGCGAATCATCATCCTCAGGGTTTGAGGGAAAAGAGATACCTTCAGATTTCTCTCTCAGCCTCCTCCCCTCTTTCTGGCTTGGTGGATTTTTTAAAAGTTATTGTTTGGTACCTAAAGGTGTTATCTTTTTGAACCCTCCAGCACAGTCCAGTCCAAGATGCCCTCAGTCTCAAGTCTCCGAATTGGGGAAAAAAAAAAGAGAGCGAGAAAAGAGAACCTTTACAATTCCTCCTGAGGTTGCCCTCTCTCACCTGCGGTGCTTGTTTCCCACAGCAGAACCTGAGTGCAAACATCCCTGGTGGCCAAGGAGCAGAAAGGTGCGGGAGACAATTGGGGCTGCCAGCGAGCACGCTTTGCCTCTGAACCCACAAGCCCCCAGTCAGAGCGACAAGGACCAGGAGAAGAAGGAGAGGAAAAGAAAAAGAGAAAAAAAAAAAAAGAGAGAGGAACAAGCACCTTCTCCCTCCCTGCTGCTAACTTCCAACAGACTTCCTGGAAATCAAATACTCACCGCACCCGAGCCCTACGGGTATGAAACCCAGAATGCCAGGAGCCGCAGGAGCCGCAGGAGCCTGCTCGGGGTGGCACTGCTTTGGCTGGCCGCCGCCCTGGCTACAGGGGTTTGGACACATGGACCTGGGGTTGTTGTCTTGCTTGGCACATGCCTCTATCTTTCTCGAGCCACTCTGGAAAAGTTGATGGCACAGGAAGGCTGGGAAGCTTTGAGAGCCGCCTCCCGTCTTCCGCTTCCTTCTGGAGCCAGATGCATAGCTGCCTTGGAAAAGCCGGCTAACAATGGGCCGGGGTCTGGGTCCGGGGGGCGCGCACTCCGAGCTGGGCTTTGGGAGGGGGCCGAGGGCATGCAGGAGGGGTTTGGCGAAGGAGAGGAGGGTAGAAGTGAGAGGGAAGGGGAGAGGGGAGAAGAGGAAAAAAGGAAAAGAGGGAAAGACAGAGAGGAAGGAAAACAGGGATCACTTCTGAGATCCAGGGACTGGTTGTAGAAAAGGCGGAGGAGGAAAGAGGAAATAAAAGAGGGGAGACCCCAAAATGAATCCTTTCTTTTCTGTGTCTCCCCTCTCTCCTTCTCTCTCTCTCTCTCCCTCTCTCTCTCTCTGCCCCTGTCCCTCCCTCCCTCCTTCCCTCTCTCTTTCTTCTCGCTGTCTCACCTCCCCTCTCCCTCTGCTCCTGCCTCCAGCGTTAGCAGAACTTATGTGGCTGGGATGCGGGGCTCTCGGGTGTCAAAACTTTGAAGATTAATGGATTACTTTGTTAATGACTGCAGGCGTCAGACTGAGGTGCTTAAATGATTTGTGAGGTGCGAGGCGTCTTCCCGACAGTCCCGAACAATGCGCGGAGCGTGCGGGGCAGGCAGAGGGCAGCCGCCGGCGGGCCCGGCAACAGGGCTCACACTCGCGCACCCTCGCGGGCGCACACACCAGATCTGTGCCGATCAGGAGGCGGGCAGGCACCCTCGCCCCCACGCACTCCCGGGCATCCCCACCCACACCCACATATATGTATTTTTGCCCTGAAAAAAGTGTAAATAAAGCCTCGCTGGCCCCCAATGAGGCGTTCCTTCCCGACTTTTTTGGATCAATCAAACAGACAGTGGCTTCTTTTGATTAAAGCCCAAATTGTCATTGGGCAGAAGCAATCATGTGACAGCCAATTCGGTCCAATTTCAACCTTGTCTCCATGAATTCAATAGTTTAATAGTAGCGCGGTCCCCATACGGCTGTAATCAGTGAATTAGAAAAAAAACACCCCAGCAGCGATCTTCTATGATAGATTTTTTTTTTCCTCTGCTCTCGTCTTTTTCCTGGGCCTTGCCCCCCCAAAGCCCCTCCAGAAGAGGGAACTTTTTCTCCGAGGGGGCTCCAAGGAGAAGGCCATGAATTACGAATTTGAGCGAGAGATTGGTTTTATCAATAGCCAGCCGTCGCTCGCTGAGTGCCTGACATCTTTTCCCCCTGTCGCTGATACATTTCAAAGTTCATCAATCAAGACCTCGACGCTTTCACACTCGACACTGATTCCTCCTCCTTTTGAGCAGACCATTCCCAGCCTGAACCCGGGCAGTCACCCTCGCCACGGCGCTGGCGGCCGCCCCAAGCCGAGCCCCGCGGGCAGCCGCGGCAGCCCAGTGCCAGCCGGCGCCCTGCAGCCGCCCGAGTACCCCTGGATGAAGGAGAAGAAGGCGGCCAAGAAAACCGCGCTGCCGCCCGCCTCTGCCGCCGCCGCCGCCGCCGCCGCCGCCGCCACCGGCCCTGCCTGCCTCGGCCACAAAGGTCAGTCCAAAGACTTGGCCCCAGGTCCCCGGGACCCTTTTCCCCCTTCTGGGCTGCCCAGGGAGCGACTATGGGGGAGGGGAGCGTGGGCTGGGAGAGAAGGGGGAGAGAGGGAGAGATGCTTGGCTGCCTTCCCTTCCCCTGTGGGTTCAGAAGTGGGTCTGATGGAGAGAAAAGCGATCCTGCGCTGCACAATGAGACACATATATATTTTTAAGAAGAGGGGGGTAAAACTTTCCCTAAGTTGTGTAATGTGGGATGATTTATTTGAGTTGGAACTGACCTCCTCTTGTCTAGTTGTCCTAGAGTTTGGCTTTTTGACAGTAATGAAGAGTGATAGATCGCTCTTGCTCAGCTAAGCAGCTGATGCATTAATTATAAATTGTGGTGTGGCTAATATAAAGTTTGCTCCCGGATGGAGAGGTTGGGGGGAGCCACAGGCAGCAATTTGATGGAGGTGGAAGAGATGGGGTCTCCCCGGGCTGGGCTCCCAGGAAAGGCACAATAGCTCTACTGCATCCAGGGGCGGCCATTTTGTTGCAGTTGATCTTTTCTGCTATATTTATTCTCCAGTGGAATAACCCCGCTCGGACCCCTCCACCTCCAACTGTGCGTGTGTCTCTTGTTGGTTTCCCTTTCCGCAGAATCCCTGGAAATCGCCGATGGCAGCGGCGGGGGCTCGCGGCGCCTGAGAACAGCTTACACCAACACGCAGCTTTTAGAGCTGGAAAAAGAATTTCATTTCAACAAGTACCTTTGCAGACCCCGAAGGGTGGAAATTGCAGCGCTGCTGGATTTGACTGAGAGACAAGTGAAAGTGTGGTTTCAGAACCGGAGGATGAAGCACAAGAGGCAGACCCAGTGCAAGGAGAACCAAAACAGTGAAGGGAAATTTAAAAGCCTCGAAGACTCTGAGAAAGCAGAGGAGGATGAGGAAGAGAAGTCGCTCTTCGAGCAAGCCCTCAGCGTCTCCGGGGCCCTTCTGGAGAGGGAAGGTTACACTTTTCAGCAAAATGCCCTCTCTCAGCAGCAGGCTCCCAATGGACACAATGGCGACTCCCAAACTTTCCCAGTTTCGCCTTTAACCAGCAATGAGAAAAATCTGAAACATTTTCAGCACCAGTCACCCACTGTTTCTAACTGCTTGCCAACAATGGGCCAGAACTGTGGCTCTGGCCTAAACAATGACAGTCCCGAGGCCCTCGAGGTCCCCTCTTTGCAGGACTTTAACGTCTTTTGCACAGATTCCTGCCTGCAGCTTTCAGACGCAGTCTCGCCCAGTTTGCCAGGGTCCCTCGACAGCCCCGTAGATATTTCAGCTGACAGCTTTGACTTTTTTACAGACACACTCACCACAATCGACTTGCAGCATCTGAATTACTAAAAACATTAAAGCAAAACAAAGCATCACAAAACAAAAACCCCTTTGACCAGGTGGTTTGGCCTTCTTTTATTCCGAGAGTTGATTTTTCTTTTCTTTTCTTCTTGACCTACCCTGTCTCTCCTCTAAATGTGGAAGATTTTCTGTTTAGTGGTTCTCCTGATCCAGTTTCAGAGCCATCTTTTCCAGATTATTTTGGAGTTTTAGTTGTTCTGAATCGAATCCAATGACCCTCTATGTGATTTCCTGAAAGCAATATAGGAGGCCTGCAAGAAAGTGATCATATAATTGTATCTTCACTTTCTTTTTATTTTTGTATTACATTAGGATGCATTGTCATGAGTATTTTTGGTAGAATAAATTCTCCTTTGCTATAAGTAGCTTTCTTATTTTTTTCTCCCCCCTCTTTCTCAAGGCTCATAACGGTTTCTTTTCCCTCTCTTAGTCTAATTTGGTAAATAAAATTCTGGTCACAATTCATCTTCTTTTTCAATTTTAATATATTTATTAAGGGGGCATGTTCAAAGTCTTCAAAAGACAACAACAAAAAAGAAAGCCAGAAAATGGTTAGGACTTCTGAGAAGTGTTCTTTTTTTTTCTTTTCTTTTTTCTTTCTTTCTTTTTAAAGGGAATGGATTTGGTTTTTCAGTGTAGAGGTTCAAGCCATAGATTTAAATTGGTAATAGAAACAGGATTGGGCAGCCTCAGAGTTGGGCCAAGCCCAAGCTTTTGAAAGTGGAGAAATAAAGTGCCTACAGAAACCCCCAACTCCAGGAAGGAGGAACATGGAGTTTCTTTAACAAGCTACCAGTCTTCAGGTCCATAACTAAGTTATCAACAATTAATTTATTTATACACATTTGTTTCAAACATCTACATTCCAGCCCCTGCCCCACAATCCCGGAAACATTTTCAGTGTGGTCCATTAGTCTCCCAGCTGTTGATGGGTCCAGGCAAACAGACCTAAAAGGTAGAGAAAAACAAAAACAAAACAAAACAATGGTTACTAGCTGGAAAATGCACTTCAGAAAGGGTTCTTTCCAATCCTCTGGTTCAGTCATTCTACGATTCTTTTTTCAGGGTCAGAAAAATCAATATTTCATTCTTAAATCTGTTTACATGGCAAATAATGGATCATTAAAGCTGTGAAGTCAGGTTACCAAGTTGAGATTTAAATTGGAGAGTTTGTGCGCCCTAGGTTATAAATTAACCCAGTTTCTAGAGAGAGAAAGAGAAAAAGCACTTTAAATGAAATACCAATAAAATGTGATCCAGGGCACGTCACTGGGTTTTTCTGGTTTCCCCCCCCCCATTCTTTCATCTCCCCATGCTGATTTTTCCCTTACTGAGCTCTGCTGCTTACCGTGAGAAAACGCAGCGTGTAAGCAACATGTGTGGGGGGCGGGTTGATTTAGGAACCCGGCTCTTAACAGCTAAGGCTTGGAAGTTACAATGAAATCGCGATCTTTCTCCATGGGTTTGCACCCTACCTTCCTCCACCCTTTTGCCCCCGAAATCCTGGCAGCGGCGGAGGCGTGTGAGGACCCCGGCGGGTCTCCAGCCCCAGGCGCGGAGCTGAGCAGGGCGGCCCGGCCGCAGCCAGGGCTGAGCCGCTGCTGTTTGCGATTCGTCCTACGCTCATAAATCAAACGCTTTCTATGAATGAGAATGTCATCAAAGAGATCAATTGCAGGAACACATGCACAAATAAAAATCCTCTTACGTATTTGCCGGGGATCCCCGTCCGAAAGCATTAAGTTAGAAGGCGTTTAGTCATAATTCATTTTTATTGCTCTTTTAAAACAACAGCTTGGCTGAGCCGCGGATGCCATGAACAGCTCCGGGCCTCCGCGGCGTTTTGTCTCCTCCTTGCTCCTTCCCTTTCTAGTAGAAGAGCCCTGAAAGAGGCGTTTTGAGCCCAGCAAGCCGCTTGCAGGCCATCATTTAACTAGTGACCAAGCTCTCCTTTCGCCCACTCTCCCAGGGCATTTAGAGAGACTTTAGCTCGAGTCCTGGGGCGCTGGCCTACACGCTCAGAAAACCAGGGTCCTCTACACCGCGGAACGAGCCCCAGGATTTCGTGGGGGTGGGGAAAGAACTGAGCTACGGAAGCCTTACGGGCTCGAGGCCAGAGGAGACTGCCTTTGTAAGCAACACCGGGAGAGCGGCGCTCTGGGCGGCCAGCCCGGGCTGAGCAGGCTCGGCTGCGAGCGTCCGGCCTGCCGGGAGCCGGGAGCCGGGAGCAGTGCGCTGAGGTGGGTCGGTCGCCGGCCCGAGTGCTTGCGGGCTTAAGTGCAAGTGCATCCATGTGGCCCCAAGAAAAACACCCCCACCCGTGTTGGCTCTGGAATGAGGTCCGGAGGGAGGAAGAGAAGTGGAAGGAGTGGAGCGCGGAGGCCGAGAACTAGCGGAGTAAGGAAAGCGGTTGAGGCCCGGGATGGCTTTGTGGCTCAAGCCCTGCGGCCAAGGGGCTTGAGCAAACCCGGGCTGAAGAAGCCAACAAAGGGACAGGAATGAGACCAGGAGAAAGCAGACCGTCCGCAATGCCAGCTCGGACCTTCTCACGTTCTACCTCCTCCCCGACAGGAACCCCTTCTCTCCCCATCGTTGGAAGCCTGGCGCTCCTAAGGAAGCCGCCTCCAGGAGGGCCGCCTTTCCTTTTCCCTTCTCGAAGATGAACGTCCCCAGGTGCTGAAATTGGGGCAGGAATGACTTTTCCTGTCTGTGCTCTCTCTTAACCGCGGTTGGGGATGGGTCAAAGGTCACAGAAAAATACCCTTTCAAAAGAAAATGTTTGGGGGAAAATGTTTCTTTGCTACTGAGGGAATCCGTAGTCAAATGTCTGCAAGAGTTTCCCCTCATGGAGGGGAGGGGGCAGATTGGGGGGGGAGGGAAACTTCTATATGTGGAGAACAGAATGCAGAAACCTGAAAGGTTGACTAACACATTTGAAATGTGCCTGCCTCAAGCAAAACTTCCTTCTTCTAACTGGGGAGGGAAAGCTAGAGGGGAGTGGGAACCCCATCCTCAGATAAATTTTATCTGTCCGATTCTGGTGTGGTAAACAGGGTCAGGGAAAAATCTCTACTGCGCTGGCTGCAAAAGCTTCTTGGATGATCTCTGGATTTCTTTTACCTAAGAATGCATCAATTCTCGGTCTCAGTTTGGCATTTTCTCTTTACAAGCCAAGGGTTGCCACGAAACCTAATAGTAAACAGCAATTAACGACCCCGTCAGCATCAGGGTAGGATGAGGGTGATGGAGAACAGGACCCCTGGCCTGGGATGACGCTCAGATTTGCACGCGTCTCTCTAGGGAAAGACTTGAAGGTTCACACAAGGAACTACCCAGTCAGTTACAAAGGGGAGGAGGTGTTGTTGGTGAAGAAGAAAATATCCCGTCCACCATCAGCCATCTGTCCACCGCCCCTCCCACCTGCCAGCCCCTACCCACTTCAGACGTGCAGTAGAATGGCGGGGGGGGGGGGCTAGTGGATAAAGGAAGCTCTACCACTCCTAACATCCCCCTCCAGAAAACGAGCACCATTGCGGGGGGAGTTCAGCGTATTTTGCTGGCGCTGTGGTCTCGCCCTTTGAGGCCCCTGCCGGAGCGCGCAGACTCCTGGGTCCCGGGGAGCCGGCAGATGGCCTGCAGCGCACCGCCCGGCCCCCACGCTGGCCACGTCCGCTAGCGTCATCTTTCTCCCCCGCCTCCTACCCTTCAAAATCCAGCGGCAGAGCTGCTCGGGATCCCGTAGGGCTCCCGGAGGAAAGCTGAGTGGGGAGGAGAAAGGGGCGGAGAGCGAGGAGAGAGGGAGGGCGAAGAGCCCGGCCACCCCCGGCCTTTTCCGGCAAGCTTAACTACTACCAATCACCCGCTCCCGGGCGTCGAATTACAGAAGCTCCTCATTGCCTTGCTAATAATCAGTTGGGGTGGAGGGAGTAGGATTCGGAGACCCTCCTTGGAGAAGGGAAGTTTTGTTTTTCTGGGTTTTTTTTGTTTTTTTTCCTTGCTCTTGTCCCCTCCACGCCCACCCGGAGTCCTCCAGGCCAATCCTCTGCGCACTTCCTTCTCCCTTCCGAGCTTGGAGAGCTGGTGGCCTGGCCTCGTCCTGCGCCACTGTCCCCTGCGCTCCTCACTGCCCCGGCACCACAGCAGGGACTGTGTAGTGAAAGCGCCCGGGGAGCTACCCTTCCTGCTCCGCGCACTGCGGGCTCGGCCCCTGAGCTAGTGGCAGGCCGGAGAGCTCTGGCCCACTGATTCCCGACCCAAGAGAGACGGAGCCCTCTTCCCTTCTCACCTCTTGCCAGTTCATCTTTCTGTGCACGGTGGGGAGGGGGCGGAGAGGGGGATGCCTCCTAGCCCCCACCTCCCGGAGGGGGGGAGAGCGGAGTCGGCGCGCGCAGAAGGCAGCTTCTGCTCCCCTTCGGCCCAGCGCTCCGAATCTGCCCTTGCAGCCGCCGCAGCTGCTGCCGCCGCCTGGGCTGCCTGGGGGGGCGACTGCGCGTCACCTAGACTGAGGAGCACCGGGGATTTAAATGCCACTGAAACGGTGATCCATCACCGCGGGAGCCAGCAAACTTTCGCAGGAGGCTCCGCCATTGGCTGACATAGTCACGTGCCCCTCCCCCGGCGCCCTCCGCCCTCGCGCCCCCCCTCTTGCGCACTGTACATTCATATCATTTTTCTTCTCCGGCCCCATGGAGGAAGTGAGAAAGTTGGCACGGTCACCCAGGACTTCGCAGGACCCGGTCCCTCAGTGACAGATGGACAATGCAAGAATGAGCTCCTTCCTGGAATACCCCATCCTCAGCGGTGGCGACTCAGGGACCGGCTCAGCTCGAGCCTACCCTTCCGACCATGGAATTACAACTTTCCAGTCGTGCGCGGTCAGTGCTAACAGCTGTGGCGGCGACGACCGCTTCCTAGTGGGCAGGGGGGTGCAGATCAGCCCACCCCACCACCACCACCATCACCACCCCCAACCGGCCACCTACCAGACTCCCGGGAACCTGGGGGTGTCCTACTCCCATTCGAGTTGTGGTCCAAGCTATGGCGCGCAGAACTTCGGCGCGCCTTACAGCCCTTACGCGTTAAATCAGGAAGCAGAAGTAAGTGGTGGGTACCCCTCGTGCGCTCCCGCAGTTTACTCTGGAAATCTCTCATCTCCCATGGTCCAGCATCACCACCACCACCAGGGTTATGCTGGGGGCGCGGTGGGCTCGCCTCAGTACATTCACCACTCATATGGACAAGAGCACCAGAGCCTGGCCCTGGCCACGTATAATAACTCCTTGTCCCCTCTCCACGCCAGCCACCAAGAAGCCTGTCGCTCCCCTACATCAGAGACGTCTTCTCCAGCGCAGACCTTTGACTGGATGAAAGTCAAAAGAAACCCTCCCAAAACAGGTCAGTCTTGCCATTCCTTGGATGTTCCTTGATGGTTCTGGAAGGAGCTTGTTTGCTTAGTTGCCAAGGAAAATTAATACTTTTTTTTTTTTTTTGAAAAGTTCTTGCTTCCCACGGGTGTTGTTCGGTGTGGAGAGATTGCCCAGGTGTGTGGGGCAAAGGAGCATCTGGGGCTGTTGTGTTTTCTAAAGGGCTGAGTTTTAGAGGTTCTGGAATAGGAAGTGGGTAGGGGTATGTGTGTGTGTGTGTGTGTGTGTGTGTGTGTGTGTGTGTGTGTGTGTGTGTGGGTGTGTGGGTGTGTGGTGGGGGGGTTGGTTCTGTTAATATCTCCAGGCTCCATTAATCACGGGTCTGACCATGCTAATGGTTGACTTCAGATTAACACTTTACACCTCATCAGTCACCTTTCCCAGCCTGGTTTCTGTTGAGAAATTCTTGATCTCCCCTTTACCTGAATGTTGCTCTGAAGCGTGTAGGGGCTCTCATATGGATTGTAAAAATTTTTATCTTTCTCTCTCATCGCTCCCCATCATGCCCCCAGGGAAAGTTGGAGAGTACGGCTACGTGGGTCAACCCAATGCAGTGCGCACCAACTTCACCACGAAGCAGCTCACTGAGCTGGAGAAGGAGTTCCACTTCAATAAGTATCTGACGCGCGCCCGCAGGGTGGAGATTGCTGCATCCCTGCAGCTCAATGAGACCCAGGTGAAGATCTGGTTCCAGAACCGCCGGATGAAGCAGAAGAAACGAGAGAAGGAGGGCCTCTTGCCCATCTCTCCTGCCACCCCGCCAGGAAGTGAGGAGAAGGCCGAGGAATCTTCAGAGAAGTCCAGCTCTTCGCCCTGCATTCCTTCCCCGGGGTCTTCTACCTCAGACACTCTGACTACCTCCCACTGAGACCCACCCAGCCCCAAGACTCCGCAGCCCAGGCTCCTCTGAGGGCTGGGGACTTCCTACCCAAAGCACATTCTTAGCTTATCTTCCTTTCCATTTACAGTCTCTCTCTTCCTTTCTGATCCTATCTGGGGAGCTCCTGGCCAGGATAATGTGTTTCCAGAGAATTCTAGATTAGAGGCTTGATTGGTGTGTGTGTGTGTGTGCTAACTCCTTCATGCAGATTAGGTGCCATAATCAATTTTTTGATGGCCCCCAACACCCCTCCCTACTTTTAGGAGAATTCCACAGAATCTGTTCCTTTCAGATGTCCTTTGGAATATAGTCTCCTTTGCCAGCAGAAACATGTCAGAGGGAGGCCTATCCTTTACCTATCTGTGTATTTACAGTTCTCTCCTACTTTGCCCTTAAAGTGGGATAGAGAGAAAGGAGAGTCCAGGAGCTCATAAAGAAGAGATGCACTATGAGCGTGTTTACACAATTAAATCATCCCTTAATTTAATTCAATTTCATGTGTGTGTTTGCTGGTTGTAAATACTTTGTCCTGAGAGATTTATCTTTATACAGATTTTCTAGAAATGTTTAGATTAAGTGACTAAAACAGGGTGGGTAACTCAAACTGGTACAATTTTATATGTGATTATGGGTTAAAGAATAAAATTGCTCACTTAAACTCAGATGCCTCAGAGGGTAGCCTGCATTTGTTCTTTCAGTGAGTTAAGAAGGCCTGCAGAACACAAGGTTCAAAAACCTTGCTTCCTGTGCTAGGTCTCTCCCCAACCCCACCCGTTTATTGTTTCTCTGGCCACAGTGTATTTGAAATTTGTGCTGGATTATTCAGAACCTAAAGGTATTATTCAAACCAGCTTCTTCCTTCCACAGTTATCTTAGGTGGATATGATGTATTTTCAGCTCAATTGTTAATGTGATGGATGGCACAATGAATGTATATTTTGTGTGATTCGTGAATAGTTTTTGCATGTCGCACAATGTTTTGATGTCCCTGAAGTACCATACTGAGTTATATCAGTTATTCTTTGTGAGCCTATGATATTCCCCCTTTCCTGTACAATCATGAACAGCTCTGAGATCCTGGAGTAATGTGATCCAGAGCAGAGTTTACGGGTCTTAAGATGTCTGTAATAAATATATTCAAGTTTCACATAAGCTTAAGCATCCCTGTATTTGGCTTGGCTACAATTTGTTGGCTTATTTCACGTGGGGAGGGGGGAAGGGTGATGTGTACTTTCAGAGGTGGGCCTTTTCTTGAAAAAAGTAAATGCTTTCCATTATGTAGCTGAAACTTCCCCTATGAGTGTCATAGCACCTAGCTGATGCCTATTTAATAGGTTGATTTTCTTTAAAATAACAATAGTTCCTTTATTATAATCCAAGTTCATAATGGTAAAAAATGAATGGTGAAGAAATTTATGAAGGAGATCTATTTTTGAAACAAACATGGATACTTCCTGGGTCAAGTGCTAACCTTTTCACCTCCAACTGAATGTTGACGTATATATAAACAGAACCCCCTTCAAAAGCCCAAACTCTTCAGTCCGTCTTTCCTCACGTCAGTGACCCAAGAGCTAAGAGATTCACATTTAATGAGCTCCAGTATAAAGCTGTTTGAGGACGAGACCTCCACCTCACCCCTCTTCTTTTCCGGCTTGTCAGGCAGTGTTCCAGTATAGTCCAGCCTTTAAACTGAGTATGGTCTATCTTCAGTAAACCCGCTGCATCTGTCCTCCCATCCCTCCTGTCAGGGTCTGTCCCTGCCACTCTCTCCACGTCCTCCTGCCCACCCCCTCTGGGTTACACATCTCATTCCCATCAGATTCAGCTTTGATTTCATAGCCAGCATGGGGTCTACTCTAATCCATAACCCAGTTCTAATCCCCTAACCCAGAAAAAAAGTTTTTATTTTCTTCCCTGGGCTCAACAGATTCTTCCAGGAGAACTTTTGAAAGCTGCCCTGAAGTGTTTCGATATTCAAGTTGCTTCCAACCGAGGGGTCTGCTCTGGAACAGAGGAAGCCAGCAAATCAAATTGTTCAAAATGGCTCTCCCCCCAGACCTCTTACCACTTTTCCTTTACCTTCGCACATTTTCAGAGGCTTTAATTTAGCCCCAAGGGTAGAGGAGAAATACAGCATCACAAATAGAGGCATATGACTTCCTTCCTCTCCAAAGGGTGTTTTACAAAGGATGGGCTGGCAGTGGGAGGAGAAATCCTACAAAAACTTGGAATTTGCAGGCCTCCTAGAGCACCCAGGAGATTTCCTGTACTTCCCTGTCAAAGGGGGCAAGCCTGGACTTTGCAGGCACAGTTGCTGCGGCCACATCAAGGGTACCCGCTGCCCTCCCCTTGGCTCTGGGATCCTGGGCTCCGGGATTGCCTCTAAAAGACTCAAGTGGATGGAGGAGAACTTCAAAGTAGGCCAACACTTTCTTTCATTTCCCACCCTGACCTTATACAGTATCTTTTGTTTATTAGTGTAAGGCCACACAGCAAAACAGATGGCTGGTTTCCAAATTCTTTAATGTGTTAAAGTGTCATTTGCATGCCACTGCCGAAATTTCAATATCTAAAAGCAGGGCTGGACCCGCTGGAATCCTGGAGATTCCAGTCTTCAAGGTGCTGGTTTTAATGTAGCTGAGAGAGAGGAGAACAATTAATTATGGCTAAACATCCAAAGCCTTCTCTAGATCGTGGAATAAATCAGTTAACAAGCAATGCATTTAGGAAACATTAATATACCTTTCAACAAGGAAAACATTTGTATCTTTTTAGTTGCCCCAATCGATTAAATCAGAGGCACTTAACCACATCCTATTTCTAGGTCTCTTTTTCCGTTTTGGTCTCTGAGGAGCATGGTTAGCTCCCTGAAAATGACAGCAATGGTGACTGAAACAACAAAAGATGGAAAACAGAAAATAGCATTTTATTGATAAATTTCAAAAGGACAAGAGCCTCAATTAGGGACTTGGGATAATTACAATACAAAATTCCAGTTTTCAAACGCTTTCTCCTCACTTCCTTCACACTCATTCAAAGTACTCCTGAAATTCCGGGTGTCCCCAACCTAGGGCTGAGTTGAGATCTTGCTCTGAAGTCTGCTCTTGACTTCACCTTTGAAAGTTTACTTTTGGAGGCTATTCAGATGCCATGGTGTTTTCCTCTGGGGCAATCAGATTCAAACCGATCAATATTTACTCAGTCTGAAAGGGTTGTTGAAAAGGCTGCTAACAACAAACTGCTTAGCTGCTCACCCCTGTTTAATC